CTTGCGAACGGGCAGGGAACAACGGGTAGGAGCCACTGGGTAAGCGGCTGGAGAAATCAACCAGGTCTGACTTGACCACAGGATGATCGGGCTCATCCCACACACACACCCAGAACCCAGCTGAGCCCCCAGAGTCTGGAAGGCCCCTAGGGCAGAATCCAATGGAAGGGTTGGGGCTGCCTTGGCATTAACTGTCTGGCCATTCACAACCCATAAATTAGCCAATTCCCAGGCTGGGCATTCCTACCCTGCTTGTTACCGTAACACCCAGCCATATGGCTGCTAATGTCTCATCACAGTCATTATAAAGCAGCAAGTTAAAGATGACCCAGCAGAGCTAATATGAGGCTTCAGAAATTAGAGGAACATTTTCTCACACAATCAAATAAAACCAGGACTGAAGAACTTTGATACCAACTCTGGAAGTCTGAATGAGAGAAAGAAATAAGGAAGAAAAGAAGGAAAGGAGGGTGGCTAAGGCAAGGGAGAGACTAAACACACACACACACACACACACACACACACACACACGTTTCCTTCAATGTCATCAGCACAGTTAATTGTGCCTCCTCTGCCTAAACTGTGAGTTCCTAAAGACTGTCATCTTCCTCTTTCTAGCTTTGGTGCCCAGCACAGGACAGGCACATTGTTGGAATTTAATGAATGAAGTTACCAGATGCTTTAGCCATCAAGGACATCCAGGCAAGCTGCCATCGTGTAAAATCTCACCAAGGGACCCAAAAACACACCTCACAAGATCTTCCCAGGATCTCCATGCCACACCAGGCTGCCCTGAGCCTCCGCACTGGGTACCTACTGAGCAATAACAAGGAAGAGCACGGGGCGGGCAGGCTCTCTCGGGAGCACGCCCACGCCTTTCTGCCCTCTCAGGGTGTATCTTCACTTTTCTCTCCTAAACGCTAAGGGTCCAAACAAGAGCACTGGGTAGCAGCAGCTCACCCCAGGCTTACCCCGTGAATCTGTCTCCAAGGCCCCCTTTTCTCTGACTTTCCAGTGACTAACGGCAGCCCAGCATGGCACATGTCTTTAGTATGCTTCTGGAGAGCCCAAGCAGAGGACCCCGCAGGCTCTCTCTCCTGTTGCTTCTTCCACCCTAAGCCTTCCACCCTTCCTCTGTTTCACTGTCCCCAGCTTTAATAAAAAATAAATTAAGGGAAAGAAAAGAGCACTGGGCAGGGAAGCAGGAGACTGGGTTCCAGCCCCAGCAAGCCGCTCCCCGCTAGCACAATGAGGGCTGGGGGCCAGGGGACTAGAGAGTCCCGTCCTGGGAAGCTATGTTTCCAAGACACTGCCGTTCCGGTCCAATCCGACATTTGGCTCTCGATCCCTGTGCCCCAAGGAGTTTCCACCGGGTTCGTCAGGCGAAGGCTCCCACACTTGCTCAGAGTCTGGGAGGAATTACAGCAGGCGGGGATCGGGCCTGCCCCCATCCGAAAGCCAGACAGCCATGGCGGGTATTTCTCAATCTCAGCTTGTTGGACTAGAAGGCATGTCTGTGTGGATGTCAATAAATATTTTCCCTAGAAAAGCAACAGGACAATACGGGTTTACGAAACTAGTTACATAACCTCCCAAAGCTTGAAGAGCTGGACACAAGGGAGGCTCCTTGTGCGTCCCCTAACCCTTAGGATGAGGCTCCACCCCAAACTGGACGGTGATGAGGTCCCAAGACTCAACCCCAAAGTGGGGAGAGAGCCCTTTCCTGAGCAGAGGCCAAGACAGATGTCCCCAAAGTACACACTGTCCTGGGCTTGCGGCCACAGGTGTGCACGTGAGGGAGAGGCGGGGGGCGAGGACGGCACGCTGGTAGAAAAACACCTGAGAGCTGAGAGCTCTGCAGAGATTCAGCAAATGCTTTGTCTTCCCGTGGGCACAAACTGAGGCAGAGGCCCAGCTGACAGCCCCCACAAAAGCCAGGGAAACTGGTTTATGAAGAAATGGCTCCCAGAGCCCTGGCTACCTGCAGCTGCTATTTGCCGGCCCAGGTGCCCATGACTTTCTGGTGCCCACCTGTAGATCAGCGTCTTCCTCATGGCACCGCTGGGCAAGAGGGGCCTCTGGTGTTTAAGTCGTCTCATACTCACCACCACTCACTGCCCCCATGTACCCTTGAGGGGACTGTGCCAAAAGCCCCAGGCCCCAGTGGAGTCCTCAGGTCAGCCCTACCTCCCCTAACCAGTCCAACCTGAGGTACTGCCCCCTCCCTACCCAGCCCCTCTCTGGGATGGCAGTGCCAGTCGTCACATTGAGCTGCCGCCAAACCTAAGCAGAGATAACAATGCAAGGTCACTGCTCCTCCCAGGCTGACCACATTGAAGGCAAACACCCAGACAGCCAGGAAAGGGGCCTCACCACCACAATTCAGTGGAGTGTATGCTGCTCCGCCCTCGGGTGGGCGGGGAGGATACCACCCACAGGCCCGATCACCCTGGGAGAACTCAGGAACCTCACACTAGCCCATGGGGGGGGGCCAGGGCCAGGGCCTACTATGGCTCCAAATACTATAGCCTACCCTACGTTCCACAGAGAGTGTAGACGGAGACGGGATTCAAACCAAGTCTATCTGAAGTCAATCTCAAAGCTCTGAAAACCCACAACGGATCTAACAGTGACCCATCAACAGCCAAGCATGGCTCCCCCATGGAAGGGCATGGCGGTGACCCACCACCCACCCGCCGGGAGGGATCGAAGCATCTGCTCCAGACCCCTGGACACCAGAAAGTAGAGCCACATTGTAGAAAGGAACTGCAAGTAGTGAAAAGGCCACAGCTCTAAACCCCACGGATGCTTTCTCCCACCAACCTCAAAACCACCCCACAAGGGCTTTGGCAGACACCTGCCCAGCTGAACAGATGGGCCATCCCACCCCGCAACATACACACACACACACACACTCTCTCTCTCTCTCTCTCTCTCTCTCTCTCTCTCTCTCTCTCCCAGGAAGACTTTCAGCTCTCTTAAGGCTCCCTCCCAGCCAGGAACTTCCCCTCTGAGAACTGCACCCAACCACTCAAACCTAAGGGCTCAATTAAAATGGAGAAAAACCCTCCGCCTTCACTTTCATGGCTGTCACGCAAAGAAAGCCAAGCTGGAGAACACCCAGGGCCTCTCTCCTCACCCTCCCAAAGCTTATCTCTCAGAAAGTCCCTTCGGGCCACCAATTCGGAGTTAACTCAGAGACGCCAGTAACTGCTCACCGGTTACCAGGAACACTATTATAAAACAATGCAGTGTGCGCTACCACAGCCTCTCATGATTCATCCGGAAGGCCCGACACTTCAAACATCAATCAGATGAACTTTGGGGTACTTTCATTTGCTAATTAATTTCTCTTTCTTTCTGCTTAAAATCCAGGCAACTATGACAAAAACAAAAGGGCCGAGCGACAGTGCTGTGATGGGGGACACTGGCCGCTCTGGAGTAAGGGAACTCACTCTTTCTTCCTTCTTTTTCTCAAACTCTCCACGGGAGTCTGAGAAATAAAACTTCAAGTCCCGAGTCCTAGTTGTCACATACTTAACATACACAATCTCGTTTCGTTCTAAAAATAACCCGGTGAGTTAAACATAGACGACCTCACTTTATACATGAGAGACTGGGAGGGACTGTATCTCAGGCACTCGGCGGCGGGGCAAAGGTTCGCCTTCATTCTATGGGACTAGTCTGCTTCCCAGAGACCATCATCAAGTCCAAAAGAATTCCATTTTCTGCTTTAAGAAAAGTCCCCCCGATGACCACAATTCATGTCCGACCAACTGCTAGAGCTTCCTCCCAAACTGGATATAAAAATGTTGAAGTAATTATGGGAGAAGTTGAGCAAGAGCATGTAAGAGGCCTGCTCTGCCAGGATTCAGCGGAAAAGTGTAAGAGTTCCTATTGGCAGGATGCCTGCCTGCTTGCCAGGGCCCCTCACGGGGAACGGCATTCTCTCAACCCTGGCATGAGAAATGAGCAGCCACCTGTCTGGTCATCTTGGAAGCGAACCTGTGGCCGCGTGGGGCTTGACTGCCTGTGGATACAGGTCAAGGAAAGTCCCAGAGGAGGCTCAGCCTCCTCCTGACACAGGGAACTGGATCCCACCCGCCCAAGCTCCCAGCCTAGTTGAAAGAGAGGCTGGTGATTAAGGTTCACATCCTCTGGGCGAGATCACTGCGACTCCAGGCTGCTCCTGGAAAGGGATGACTGGGTGCTAACTGGTTATCCGTCAGCCCTCCAGCCTCCAGGCTCACATTTTCATTCCCACAAACACCACCGCCCCTGGAAGGACCTCCCTCATGGAGGTTTGGGGAACCTACAAGGGCAGGAAGCCGGGGAGAAGGGTCCTGAACAAAACGATGACAATTTACTGCGGGTTTACCCTCCTTAATACAAACCTCTGTTTACACTGCTTTAGCTAATCTTCCAAAATGACTTCTGGGATGGGTACTATTTATTATCCCCATTAAAACAGGCGAGAAAACCAGAAGTTTAGGGAGAAAGTCACTTGCCTGGATGCTCAGGAAAAAGGGTAAGCCACTAGCTGAGAGTGGTTCTGAGGAAGACAAGTGAACTGGCAGATCAGCTCCCTGTCCCCCCAAACTGGAGTGGTGACTGTGAGCCGCCTTGTGGTCCCAACCAGAGTCAGCAGGGCGACGGCTGTCCCGAGCCCTAAGCACTCAACACCCCAAACTCCCGGAGGCTTGGGCCAGAGCAGGGAAGTCTCCAAGCCTCCTCTGGTTCCGGGGCCAGAGGGCCCTGCGGCTTCCCCAGCCGGCCCCCCGCCCCGGCTTCCAACTTGAACCCAAAGGGACGCCCCTCCCAACCTCTCACCCCATCCAGCCCGGAACCGCTTTGGGGATTAGGGGCTGATCCGGAACAGGCCGGCGGGCTGTCCTGGAGGAGGGCGCGGGCGCACGTCCGGGACAGGGGAGGCGGGGGGGCCTGGCGGGGAAATCCGGGGGAGTCCCGGGCCTCGGGCTGGCGCCCACCCGAGTCCTTACCGAGCAGCGGGGACTCCTCGGGGCAGGCGGGCAGCGACCGTGCTGTGATGGGGGACGCCGGGGCCGAAGTCCGGTTGCTGGCGAGGCCGGGGAGAGAAGCCGCGTCGGGGCTGGCATCGCTACCCCGGGCGCGACTGGGCAGTGGCGTCGCCGGGCGGAGGCGGCGGCGCTGCCCCTCGCGGCCGCGGCTCCCCGGAGGGCTGCCCGATGGCGGCGGCGCCGTTCGAGCCGGCTTGCAGCGGCGGGGGCCGCCGACCAGGTAGGGCAGGCGGCTCAGGTCGCGGCCGCTTAGGTAATAAGACGAGCGTGCGCCGAGGTTGAGGGCGCAAGAGGCCACTAGCAGGCGGCAGGCCCGCTGCAGGGACGCGCCCGGGATTGCCTGCGGATGCCGCTCAGGAGCCGGTTCCCGGAACT